TGGACCTAAGTGCAAGTAAGAGTTTTTGTATAGCTTATGCCCTTAACTACTCCAATTGATGTATTGTACATGACTTTATTATGAATAAAAAATCATTCACATCTTGTGTCATGTGAGTGTTTTTCTAATCACTCCTCAATTTATATTAGAATTATGTATGAAACCACATGTGTATCATAATATGGACTTAAATATTCAAAACTAGTGGATGAAAAAGGAGGAGTTTATCTTGGCATGGTTGACATTCTCATATTGTCCAAGTAGTGGAGCAATGGGTCTCAACTACTTGGGTTATGACTTAAGGTGTGAGGGTGCGCGTTTACAAGAAACATGGAACTAGACCAAATCCAATATGTTTCTAAACTTTGTGATAGGTGGAATAAGTAGATGTTACATTAATTCATAGACTTGAAATGCCAATTAGTGAGATCCTTCTGGGGTCAAATATTTGGGTATGTTGAGGTTTTTAAGAATGGTGAATTAGGCAATGATTAATGTAATAGGATCTGCTATCATATTAGACATAGAGAATAGTCTATACAACTTCCTATGATGGATGCTTGAATCTATGATAGTAGGACTACTTGAATTGTGTATTAGGGTTCACCAGAGGTGGAATATAGACAATGTATCATAAATACTTAGAGGGAAAAATTCCTTTCCCGTAGAAGTGTTGAGTGCTAATAGCTAGCCGAGAAATTGGATGCAAGCGATATGTTGGATTGATTTAAGCTAATAATCACATAATGAACTAAACTAATTAATCTTGGGCCTTTAGGATGGTAACCTCTCAAGTGACTTAAGTGTTTATACACTTAATGGGCCAGATCATTAAAGCCCATAATAGTTATAGATGATTTGACATGTAGGCTAACTTATTTAAGTGGTCGGCCCTACTAGTCTTAGTATGCGCTTATAGGGACCTAAGTTGGTTATACACATTAGTAGTAGGCCCCATTACACAAGATGATTCCTCCCTCTTTGAAAAGGTTTTCAGGCAGGGGTGGCCACAAGCCAAGCTTCTCATGAGCTATTTGAGCTAGGCTCGGCTCGGTTTAAATCGAGCTTCGAGTCGAGCTCGAGCATAGTAAAGCTCAACTTGTGAGGTTCACGAGTCTAGTATAATAAATAAATATTTTTTATTATATACATACATATACATATACATATACATATAATAAATAATTTATATTATATAATAATACTTTATATATAATATTTTTATTTTTTATGTATACTAGTAAATAATTTTTATAATTCTTAATTTTTTGTATGTAAAATAAAAAAATGTTTATATATATAATTTTTATTTTTTAGAAAAAACTTGGCTTGTAGTCGAGCTTGAGCCGAGCCAAGCTAGAACTCATGTGCTTTGAACCAAGCCAAGCTCGAGCTCAAGTCTCTAGCTTGAATCGAGCTTGAGCCTAACACAGTTTCAGAAAGCCAAGCTCAAATAGCTAAGTATTCAGTTCAGCTCAGCTCAAACCCACCCCTATTTCCAGGATTAATGAACATTCTAATTTGGTTGTGATTCTTCTTAAGAAATTATTCATAGTCAAACTAGAAACTAGAAAGTCTAAGCTAGTTATAAGTTTGACTATGATGCTTAACTAGAAAATGAATTAGGAGAGTAAGATTGTCTCAAAATATTTTCTAATTATCTTAGGAAACATTATTAGCTAAGGAAACAGATCTTCACAATCCAACCAAGGCTATAAATAGACACTCAACTAGAGGAGATCGATTGACACAAAATCAACTCCTACTAGCTGAATTCACCCATTTGAGAGGGACTTCTAGGGTTTTGAACTACATTTAACCAGACCCTGTGTTCCATCATTAGAGTGTTTTTCCAGAGTGGTTTTGAGTGAGATAACTCACTCAAATCGATTGACACAAAATCACCTCCTACTATCTGAATTCACCCATCAAGATTTGAGAGATATTTCTAGGGTTTTGAACTACATTCGACCAGACCTTGAGTTCCATCATTAGAGTTCTTTTCTAGAGAGGTTTTAAGTGAGAAAATTCACCCAAATCGTTACTTGGTGGAAGCACACATTGCTAGAATTTCTAGGAGATCGACTACTCACTACAAAGGATCCTGTTGCACTGTCTTCCACTTGTAGTGTTTTGGGAGTGCAAAATCTTGGATGTGAACTACTACTTTGATCCCTGCATTTGTAGACATCTAATATCAGGTATGAAACTTTCCCAATTACAAGGTTCGATCTTTTCCTGGTCTAATAGACCCAAAGGATCAAAGAGAAAATTCTGTTTTCTCATAGTTGTGCAATTTCATCGTTAGATATAGAACAAAAATCCTGAATTTTCATCATTCTTTTGTTGGGAGTTTTGCACAATATGATCACTAGAAGATCATCTTTCACTAATCAAACTGCTTAAGATGTAGGATGTTTTCTTATTTAGTGGAGTCCACCACTAAATGGTTATGTCGAAATTAATTGTGACAAGAATCATATCTCCTACCTAGTTAGGGTACTTTTTGGTTGACTACAAAGAACCAATGACTTTCGTTTTTGGGCTATGCGGGTGTGAATTTTATTTTTAGCAATATCATTGAAACTAAGCTATGGGATCTTTTGGCTGCTATTAAATTGGAAAAAATTTCAAATTTGGAGAAGGTTATCTTTGAATCAGGGTATAAAACAACAACCAAAGCTATTAAGGATGAATCCCCTCATATTCTTTGGCAATATTTTGTTAATAGATAATATTAAGAATTTTAGGAACTCTTCTTTCCAATTTGTGAAATGTGAAGAAAATAGAGCAACATATGTAGTTGCTCAAATAATTAAAACAATGTTGCAGGTGAAGTATGGAGGAGTCCTTCCTGTATGACTTCTGTTAACATTGTATAATGATTTTTTGGGAAGTTAAATATATTAGTTTGCTTTCTAAAAAATAACATTACAATTATATTAGTGTTTAAAAAGAGTAGAAGATTGTATGCAAACGCTCGACCTTTAGATTGTGAGGCATAAACCTTAAGCTTCATCAATTATCACTTTTTAATAAAAGATTAAATTAAATAAAGAAAATTGGGCCTAAAGATATGCAAAGGAGAAGTGAACTTTTGCATGAAAATAGAATTTAATGAACAAATAAATGATAATGCAAACAAGCATTATAAGAGTGTAAGAAGTTTAGATAAGTATATCCTATATTTTTGGAAACGACTGAATAACTATTAATTAAAAGGCTTTTAAAGTAAATAATACCTCAAAATTGTTTTAAATATGTCGAATCATAGATAGATACATATACATACACACATTAAAGCTTTCTAATCTTCGAGAGATGTGTTTTACACTTACAAGTGTGAGACTCAAGGTTAAGCCCTGACCTAAAGCGTCAAAGTATAATCCTCATGTTTTTTTAAAACATTGGATATAATGAAAAATATGTACATAAAAAAAAACCCACTGATATGATGGTGTAAGGGTCAAGTCTAAATTTGATCAAATTAATATGAACCCAAATCAATTCTGACAACAAATAGAAACATAGTCTATGATTTATCTCCATATTAATCAAATAGGATTCTAGTTAAACACTTATCATGATTTGATCTCTTAATTTATTTTAAAAACTTAACCAATATTAGACTCTTGATCTATTTATCTTTTGTCTAAAGATTACTTTTGACAATCATTTGGTATTGTAGAGTTTCCATTTATGCCTTGTTTACTTTTAATGAGGGCAGGTAAGTTGATCAACATGAGAGTTGACCAGCTCACCACATTTGTATTTTAGTCTTCATGGTTTAGGGGTGAGCAAATGGACAGGTTCTACTTGGATCTAGCCTTGAACCGATCCTATCCAATTTGTACATAGTAGGGTTCGGTTCCAAATTCATGCAATCAACCCCCATCTAGGTCGGTTCCAGGGTCTAGGGGTTTACCCTACCCGAATTGACTCGATGAACTAGCCTTGGTTGGTCTTGGTGAGACAAGCCTTGGAACTGAACTTGCTTTGAAATAAACCCCAAAAATATTTTTAAGGATGTGAAGATTTGAATCCAAGAACTCATGGTTACAAAATCCATGGTTTCTCTTGAGCATTTAGTTACTAAACTAATTGGATAATTTGTTTTCATTTTAATATTTTTGTGTATAATAAATAATGTAAAAGGTAATATTTACAAAGTTTAAATTATAATGACAATTTTGAACCATGTATTAATATACTATGATAATCTACATATTAATTATTCAATTTAATTAGTAAAGATGATAAAAGTTTATGTTTCATTTTTTATTAAGGAGAGTAATGAAAGAATATGTTCCATGGGTAGATCCTAGAATTGCCAAGGCCAAAACCAACCTTCACAAGGTAGGCTTTGGTTCCAAAAACCTAGAACTGACCCCAACAAGGTAGGTTCCAGGTTCTACCATGGAACCAAATTGAACTGGCCCATGCTCACCTCTATGTGATATGTCCAACAAAAAAAAATGATTTCCGAGCAGCTCAGTTACCTAGGTTAGTATTACCCTCTACTTACTTGGGTAAATAACTTTATTGTCTATAGGAAAAAATGCTAATACATGATGAGGCAACATTGTCCCCTCAATAGTGATACTTTCATGGATAAAATGGTCATTGTTTAAATTTACCAGAGAAACAAAAAAACACTAGTAAGTGTGCTTACCCGTGCAAGTATTTCTCAAGGAAAGTGCATTTACCCAAGTAAATGACTTCCCGAAAAATGAACTAGGGCTTATAGTATCCTAGAAAATTAGAAAAGAGCATAGAAAAAAGGATCTTCAATGTAAAGTATTGTCTTAGGAGGAATGTAAAACCAAGGTTACAATTGTGGAAGAGAAATTGTTTTCCTTCCATAATTTCCATAACATATTCCTCTTCTCATTATCTAGGATACATGGTGAACCAGCATATGGAACTTTGAATTCTATAGGTGGAACTATGAAAAGATGAGAAGGAAAGATTGATAGAAAGAAATGTTTTGAGATTGTTACCATCTTCCTACACGAGGAGTTGTCACCCAGCAATCTGAAACAAATTACATAATATGATTTACTAGTGAATTCTCATTATCTTATAACTAATGCATAAAGAAAGAAACAAAAACTAATAAATTCTTTGGGCAAGAGTAATGCTAGAGAAGAGGACAAACAATCTAATTTCTACCAAGAATCAACCATTCCATTTTGGGATCGACTATGGGATTTGCAACCATCTATGACATGTTTTATGACTTAGGTTAGGTTGCCATTTATTTGAAGACATTGTATGCACCTCTCTCCCTATTGACTCTCATAAGGGCCATTACCCATTGTTGGTTCCAACTATCTAGGGTCTTGGGTGGGGTGGACTAGATATGGACCTAGCCTTTTCCACCAAATTTCCACTTTCAACTTGAACCCATGTTCTCACACTTGTCAGCTTGAGATTTTACCTTTACACCAAACAAGGTCTCTCTCTCTCTCTCTCTCTATATATATATATATATATATATATATGTCTTTCATCATTTAATATAATATTGGTTTTGTTTCTGATTGATGATAAGAAAAAGAAAGAAAGTTTTTGGTTTATCTTTTTCAGATCCACGACCAACATAAAGGAAAGAAACAACAACTCAATACAAACCAACCAAAAACACTAGTTAAATTTTATTGTCTATTGAAAATGTACAAGGGAATTAATAAATACCTAAAAAAGAAATGAAAGTAAACAATTTGAAAGCAAACCAAGAAGTAACAACAAGAATTACTCCCAAGAAGTTAAAAGTAAGAAAAAAAATAATGAGGTTCCGTTTAGTTCTTTTTCTTTTTCTAAGCAGGTTTATTTCTGAATAATTGCATGGAATGCATTTTATAACACCAAAAACTGATTATCCTATTATTTTCATTTTAAGTTGGCTTTTATGGAGAACACAAGGAACCTTAATTGTTGAAGACATTGAAAGACCAAGAAGAGGAATTTGGGTTATTTAGTTGAATTCCAATTGTCTTATTTTATTACTTGGGAGGAAAAACATCAGAGACATAAAAAGGAGAAAGATAATGAAATTAACCATTTTGTAGAGTCACTACTTTGTAACTGTGGATATTTAGTTAAGTTAATCCAGTCTTAATCATGCTCAAAATCTGTATCCATGGATTAATATTTGCATACATATTCAAGGTTTGTAGGTGTTAAGTAAGACCTATAGGGAGAACAACCAAGTCACTTATGACTTTGTAAAATTATAAATTGATTTTAGAGGTAACACTATCAAATGTGATTTTGGGATTAATAAGTTCTTTAAGAATAGAGGATTTGCCCTATTTTGTCAAGAAGAAACTTCTTTTTATGAGTAACAAATTAGAAACTTTATTGATAATAAAAAGATGAAATTAACAAGCTAGAAACTAGTGTCCTAGATTACCCAAAAATAAAGTATAATAAAAGATACAAAATCTAGCGCACTGTGCTACTCTTTTCATGAACAAGAGTTAAGAAGTCCTACTTGATAGTTTGTACAATCTCTTAATTCATTGTGCTAGGAACCCCAATAAAATTCAGTTATATTTTCATCATCCCTTGCAAGTGAATGAGTCAACCAATGAGTTTGCGGGAAAAAAGTTTATTCCTTTTTCTGATAGATATATAAAAGTGTTATGAAACATGTGCGTACACACAAAAAAGATCCATGCACAAACCATGGATCCCACAAAGATGAGATTATGAAGGATGCACTATCAAAACACAAATATTAGACATACTTACCGGTTTAGCATTCAAAAAATAAGTGAGTGCAATCCTCTTTACTTGTCCCATATATAAGAGAGAAGCATTTTGGTGACTAGATTGGTACTATCCATTTTAAGTATAACGATGCCTTATATATGTGTAATTCTGCAGTCATATTTATGCTCCCACTAAGAGTGTATTCTTTTGTTTTATCTTTAAAGTATGGGTAACTATTGTTGGATTTCTTCCTCAATATCAACACTATTATCAAATTATAAGTTGGTAGCAAATCAAGGAGTGTTGATGTCACCATGACATCACAATTATGTTGCATCTTTATGATATTTATTTTTTATTAAGTGTTAGAATAAGAAGGTCAAAACTGCAGCTAAAGAAGACACACAACTATTTCTCCAATTATTCATCAATAGATCAAATTGGTTTACTACTATCCTTAATTGTTTATGTAAATGGTATTGTTGTTATTGGTGATACCATGGAAGTGATATAAGCCTTTAAGAAATGCTTCCTAGAGGAGTTTGAGAGGTCCTAGGTACTCTAAGGTATTTCTTGAATATAGAAGTTGCAAAGTTTGAAGCTGGTTTTCTTCATAGCTAGTATAGGTATGCCTTGAATTTTGTTACAAAAATGGGAAAACTAGGCTTTAAAGGAAAACTAGCCTCTAAACCTGTTAGAACACTAATGAAATCTAACATAAAGCTACGTGACTAGGAAGGTTTTTTACACTCACTACCATGTGGAAGGAGTTGGACTACCATCAAACCATGCTTTAACTAATGGTTATAGGAAGTTGTTATCTTAGCAAAAGGGTAATATGCAAGCTGATCCGATCTCAACCCTACCTATGAATTAATCAAAGTTCAAAGTATTGAAAACGCAAGGTGTATTGAAAAGGTAATTTTAAGAGATATATTGAGATACACTTTGGAAACACATAGGTACAAGCGAAAAATCAAGACACACATGGATACACTAGAAAATAAAAAAATCATTAAAAATATTAACAACAATAAAAATGAGTTTTATGTGATTATAAGTTATAACTAATTTATTTAAGCATAAAAACCATACTTTAATGAGCTAAATAAAGTATCGGGACATAATTAGTAACCGTTGAAAAATAATAGAAGAACTAAAATGTATGTGTGTGTATATATACTAATATTTATTAGTTAATATTTATTATGTATATAATCAAATTTTAACATTTGTTGGGAAACATCCACCAAGGTATGAAAGATTACTTTAAGCATAAAAAACATGTTGTTATGATAAGTAATTAAGGTTGGCATAGTGGTTAATAAATTGTTGTCATAAGAAAATGACTAGGGTTTTAAACTTGTTACCACAAGTTATTTGACTTAAATAACATTTAATGACGTATGGAATGCCTTAATTAAAGGTAAATCAAATGAGCATTTAATTAAATAATATTGTCATTTAATAATGTTTCAAATTTAAAGGCTTAATTAAAATTTAAATAAATGAGAAATAGAAGAGATTTATTAAATTTAAATTTGAATTCAAAAAAGAGAGGAAAATGAAAATTGGTTGGTACATAATGCATATTGGCCTGTTTCAGGATTGTATTAGTCGATACATACCCGAAATGATCCAATACAAGGCCGATACGGACTCCTACCGGTCTGATATGGAACTCTTCTAAAACAATACGTATTTGTCGATACAGGCCAATACATTGCGAAATTTTAAACCTTGGTTCAAATATTGGGTAGTAAGGAATTACCTTGATTACAAGAAGTGTACGCTCTTATTTAGTTAAAAGAAATAAGCTGACAAGCCATGAATCTTAGTAAGGGGGAGAAACATGTTGCTTTAGCTACCAAAGGTGATGTTAAAAAGGGTGATCAACCCACGAAGTCTAAAGGGGTCAACAAGGATAAACTGTAGTGTACTTCTTGTAGAAGGAAGAGGCACATTAAGGAACATTATTGGGACTTGATTGGGAAGCCTAAAAGCTTCTAACCGAAGAAGCCATGTAACAAGCAAGAAAAGAGTGTTTTGGCTAATGTTGTTACTAGTGCGTTTCGTCATGATGATTAGATTTCTTAGATACCTATTTTACTCATCAAAGTTATAGATTAAATGGGGATTGTATCAGATCTCTCTTTGAAGAATTTGGTAAGGCACTTCACCAACTTGAGGGAAACACTTCTAATGCCTCCACTTCATTTATGGCTATCTCAGGTAACCAAGCTACTACTTTCTGTGCTACCTCTCTTCCTAGGGACCCTTGGATCATTGACTTTGGGCTTCTAATCACATGATTAGTAAGCCAAATTAACTATCAATTGAACTATCTCTCTTCCATTGTTAGTTAAGGAACTATTTCTCTTCCTTCTGGGATGATGTTGACCCACATTCCCCATGTTCCAAAATTAACTATCAACCTCCTCTCAATTAGCATTTTCACTTAATATTTGAATTGTAAGTGACTTTCTCTTATACTTATGCTTTTTAGGATTTGATTTTGGGGAGGTTAATTAGTAAGGGTTGTGTGGTGGATGACATTTACATCTTGGATGATGTTGTTGGATTAATGGTTTTTCCTTTCGTTGTCTTTATAAGTCTTAGTGATAGTTTTATTAAGAATCAAATTCATTTGTAGCATTTTTGTTTGACTTATATATCATTTGAATCCTTAAAGAGTCTTTTTCCTCCTTTGTTTAAGTTTATGTCAATGCCATCTTTATAGTGTCTAACATATCAGTTAAGTAAACATTGTAGAACCTCTTTTTTAATGAGAAATAAAAGATCAAAATTTCCTTTTTATGTTGTTGTATTCTAATGTGTTAGACCCTACTTCTATGTTATCCAATGTTGGCTATTGTTATTTTATAAACTTTGTTGATGACTATAAACAATATAAATAGATCTATTTGATTTTCTCTCATGAAAATGTGCCACAAGTGGTTAAAAATTTTTAGCATATGGTGTACACCTAGTTCCATGTTGACATCCAAATTTTTTGGTCATATGATGCAAAAGAAAAGAACTTTACAAATGGTCTAACTAGATTCTTAATTGACAATTATAGAATTGTTTTGCAAAAATGAAAAACAAACACTTGAAGTTGTATGGGGTTTGATGTTATAGATGCATATACAATTTTAGAATGATGTAATTCTCACAGTTGCATACTTGATAAATAGCATGCGTAGTAAAACTCTTCAACACAAGGCCCCTCATTATCTCCTTTTCCCTCAATATCCCCTCTTCTCCATTCCTCTTTGGGTCTTTGGATGCATGTCTATTGTCCATAACCTATCTCCTAAGGTAAACTTGATCCCAAGTCCATTACTTATATTTTCTTAGGGAACTCTACTTCTCAAAAGGGGTATAAGTTTTAGGATCCTATCTCCTCCAAGTATCATGTTTCCTTGGATGTTACATTTATTGAGTCTTAATCATTCTTCCTTGCCCCTCCTTAAGGGAAAATATGTGGTAGTAAGGAGAAGTAGGTTGTTTAAATTCCATTACCATTTTTAGCATCTAAACACATGTAGACCTTTCTTCACAATTAACACCACTAGAAGGTCTGATATGATCCTATAGGTGTGGAGGAACCTAAAGTGGTACTACATAAACTACTTTGAGGAGGTAAATTACAGCAAGGGTGTTAGATCTTGTACTACAAAATACCCAATCTCTCATTTTACTTCTTTTGACCACTTTAAGGAGGTAAAACAGCTAAGTAATGTTATTGTTCATAATCCCAATGACCTCCCTAGTGACCTTGATGTTCCTATTGCTCACGACAAGGGTGTTAGATCTTTGTACTACAAAATACCCAATCACATTTTACTTTTCTTGATTTGTTGTCTTTGTCTTATTATGCCTTCATTTCAATTATTTCCAATGTTTCTATTCCTAATAAAACCCTTATAGAAGCCCTGGCATCTCCTAAGTGATCTAATGCTATGTAAGAAGAGACTAATGTGCTAGAGTATAAATAAATTTATGCCCCAATTGAACCTAATTATAGGCTTGGTGATGATGAAGGTGATGCAGTAACTAATGTCAAATTGTTTCAAAGATTAGTTGGCCAACTACTATATTTGTCTATGACTTAGCCTAACATTTCTTGTGTCATTGAGGTCCTTAGTCAACACATGCTTATTCCATGTTCATCTTATATGGGTACTATAAATGGGGATCTGAGGTACCTAAAGCACCTAGGAAAATGTATCATCTTTGCTAACAAATGGGCACTTGAAAGTTGAGACTTATACCAAATGCTGACTAAGCTAAGTTAATATGTTGTGGTTAGATCTCATGCAGAGGTTGAGTACTATGCTATGGCCCATGCATTAGTAGAGATGTGGGTAAAAAGTGTTTTTCTTGAGTTGGGTCTTTCGATGATTACTAAAATGACCTTATATTGTAACAACAAAACTGCCATCAACATTTCTCATAACCTTGTTCTTTGTGATAGAACCAAGTGCATCAAAGTTGAAAAGGATTTCATTAGGGAAATGGCTGAAATGGGTGACATTTGTATGCCTTATATTACATCTTCAAATCAATTGGCTAATGTACTTACAAAAGTTGATAGTGCCCCTCGACATATTGACTTTGTAACAAGTTGGGAATAATTGATATCTATGTCCAAACTTGAGGGGGAGTGTTGTTTATGCATTATGTTTTTAATTTTACTTATGTTATAGGGGCAGCATGGTCTTTTTATCTCTCTTTATGTTCACTATTTATAATGGTGAAATTGGTAATTGCCCACTATTCTTTTGGCTCAATAACTTTTTCTCTCTTCTTCACTCCTTATTCTTAAGATAGCTTCCAACTTAAAAAATAATATATATGTTTTAATTAGAGACTTGTAATAAAGCTTATCTATCCATTAATCAAATGCCTTGAAATTGTAGGAAATCTTATCTACTTATTAATAAAATGCCCCAAAATTGCACTGCTATAGGGATTTGATCTAGTTCATGCATTATGTAGGACTAATCATCTGATAGCTATTAATCATATTTAATGTTAACTTAATGGTACTTCAGAAAATGTTATTTTTTAAGAGAAAAGGCATATATAAATGGTGACTAGACTATCCTTGTGGTTGATTAGTATAGGTAATGTATTTTTTTTTGGGATAAATCTTGTCACTTGGAGAAGTAAAACAAAATCAATGCTTATTATATCTAGTGCAAAGGTAGAATATAGAGCAAATGACACAAAGACCATACCAAAACTTGCAGGAATAGATGGATAATTGTGATTCTTCAAGGGTAATTAGTAGCATGAGGATAACAATAATAGAAGCCATCGTCATAAAGTATGACATATAAATAAACTATCGAACTTGCCTGTTTTAACTTCATCACCACCCAAGTGGACAAATCTAAACTTGAATACCCTCTTGAAATCTGAAATATAGATCTATTGATTATTTTGACGCAAAGTCATATTGAATAGACTTCTAAATGGAATACTTAAATCACCTGAAAGAATTCCATTTATAACTTGGAAAGTGAACTCATTACTAACATCAAGAGGCTCCGAGCAATTAGGTGATGGCCATAGAGAAGGATAGCCTTTTCCCCTATAAATGAAAACTGTTAGGTTCTAGGACAATTGGTTTTTATTTTCTAGTTAGAATAAAAAAATTAATTTAGAGAAAGCAAAGGAAATTTCTTGTTCCCCAAAATAGTTAAAGGCCCATAATACGAATAAAATCATCCTAAATGCCCTAATTTATTGGGCATGCATGATTCCATAAATGAAGAGGTCACCTAAAAATTTTGTAATGATATAAAATGTACAACTCAAAGTGGATCATGTGGTACCCAGGCATATTATAATGCATTATAAGGGAACCATGCATAGTTGTTAAAAAAGCCCATATTTAATTGGGAACGACCTCTTAAAAATATATCAACCCATGCATTACACAAAATGCTCGCGGAGCTAATACCCAATAAATAAGTTCTCAAACTCAATTCATAGAGAATTAACCATCTATCAATTTCTTAAAATACATTATCCCTTGCGATCTTTCAATAAATGGAAGCCCCTCTACAAAATCCACTATATTTCTTAAAAAGTGCAAATAAATAACAATTAATATAAATTTTTACAAATTCAAGAGCCTATTAAGTAAAAACAACTAACCATCAATTTAATGATTAAAAGATAATAATGTTTAACTTCTATAAGTAGTGTAATAATCATTAATTGTTTTGAGGGTTAGTTTTCCTAGCCCAATTTTATCCTCTTATGTTTCATGTGTTTATGGGCTTAGGCCTTCTAAATTTATTTATTTATTTTTTTTGTTATGTTTGCTCTAATGCCCTATTAGGGGTATCCTTGTAATTTTTTTTCCTTTCCCTTAAATATATCATTGGTTATGTGTTCTTTATTTATCTAAAAGACCCAAAATGTTTAAAAGTGAATCCTATATATTATTGTTCATGGTGTCGTCTTGGGTTATCCTCCCACACAAAAGGTCTACAACATTTTTAATCCTCAAATAGAAAGAAAATTTGTCACAAAATATATTACCTTTTGTAAATTACAATCGTTCTTTAAACCTCTTCAAAATTCTCTTTAGTTAATCCTTTTGTACCTGTTCCTCCTTCTCTTCCATCTTCTCCTCCTCTAATTGTTTCTCTTGGCCCTTCTAATTCTAGTGGGGCTCCCGATATTCCTCCTACTATACAAGATAATGAATTATAAGAGCTTAATGTCTAAGGGAGAAAGAGACATAGGGAATCTGTAGTTGAAGACTGCATCCATTGGATGTCTTGCCATTTGGTGACCCAAGTACTTCTTGCACTCTTTACACAGATTTAAATGTTTCTATTACATTGCGTAAATCAATTCAACCTTATATATACACTCAATTACTAAAATTATCTCTTATTCTCACTTGTTCCTTACTTATAATTTCTTTGCATTTGCCTTGTCTTTTGTTATTAATCCTTCTAGATACTTAGAGGTTGTGGCTAACCATAAATAGAGAAAGTTATGGATAAAGAAATGTAAGCTTTATTGAAGGGAAAGATATGGGAACTTATGGATATACCAAATAGGAAGAGCACTCTAAGGTGTAAATTAGTGTATACTATGAAACACAAAATAGATGGATCTGTGGAAAAGTACAAGGAATGGTTGGTTGCAAAGGGGTTTACTTAGGAGTTTATATATAGATTACAAATAGTCCTTTGCCCTAGTTCTAAAATTAAATACTATAAGAGTGTTGCTATCCTTGGTAGCAAATTGTTCATGGGAATTGCATCAATTAGACTTAATGGTGACTTGCAAGGAGAAATCTTTATAGATCCCCTTCCTGGATATGACATGAAAAGTAAGGTATACAAATTGAAGAGAAACTTGTATGGCTTGGAACAATCACATAGGGCTTGATTTGAAAGGTTGTCTAATGTAATGAAAAGTGCAGGCTATACTCAAAGTAATGCCTATCACACTTTGTTCTACATGGGAAAATGGAACAGAAATGGCAAGATCTAAGGGAGAAAGTATGCATTAGATCTATTACAAAATATAGGATAGTTAGGTAGCCAACTTTCAAACTCTCCCATGGATATGAATCATTGGCTTCATGAGGGATATATATGGGGATATCTATCTTAACAAAGAAAGGTATCAAAGACTTATAGGTAAGCTACTCTATTTATTCTTTTAGTGTGCTTGACATTGCATATTCAGTTTATGTTGTGAGCCAATTTATGCATGCTCCCAAAGTTTCTCATATGAAAGCAGTTGATATAAATCTTAGATATATATAGAGTTGTCTAGGAAAAGACTTGTTATCGAAAAAGAATATTTAAATAGAAAACGAAGCCTATACTCATGCTAATTTGGGTGGCTCCATTGTGATAGAGCATCCACTACTAGGTATTGCACATTTGTAGGAAGTAATTTAGTGATATAGAGATTGCTAGATCTAGTGTTAAGGAAAAATACAGAGTTAGGATCATGGTGTAGCAAAGTTGTTATGCATTTAGATTCTAGTGAAGGAATTGAGTATTGGGACTGTTGAACCTTTCAAACTTTATTGTGACAATTAGGCCGCAACGAATATAGAAAACAATCTTATTTTTTTTGACAAGGACTAAGCATATGAGATTGATAATTAAACACTTTGTTTGAGAAAGGATCATATTTGGTGACTTGTATATTCTATATATGCCTTCTAGAAGGCAAATAGCTAAAGTGTTTAGTAAAGAGCTACTAAGAACTAGGTTCCATGAACTGTTAGGCAAGCCAAACGTGACAAGTATCTTATATCTATACTCAGCTTGAGGGTAAGTGTTGTAAGGGTTAATTTTCTTGGCCTAGTTTTATCCTCTTATATGCATGTGTGTTTATGGGCCTGGGCCTTCTAGGTTTGTTTTTTCTTGTTATATTTGCTATACTTCCCTATTAAGGGCATCCTTATAATTTTACTCATTTTCCCTTAATCATATAATATAGTGTGGTTGGGTGGAGGAGACAAGAAGCTGTTGGCACTTTTTTCTTTAAACTTTTCTTCTCCTCACTTCTCTTCTTCTAAGCTCTGAATACTAGGGGTGTCAATGGACCGGTTTTGGGTTGGATTCCGTCTAAATCAAAATCCATTTGGACGGACCGGATGGACCAATGTGACATACTGGACTGAACCTGGTCCGTCCATAATGAATTTATATTGGATTGAGCCAATATCTGGTCCATTGATAGAAAATAAGAACATAGGTGTCAATGGACCAGGTTTGAGTTGAAACCAATCTAAGTAAACAGAAATTTGAACAGATTGGACAGTCTCAGGACCGGTCCAAAATGGTCCAAAATATTCATTGGACTGAATTGGACCAGGTCCATTTGTAATGGACTCACATTGGACTGGACCGGATTGGACCAAATCCAGTCCAATTGACACCCCTACTGAATACAAACAACAATTATTAGAATCATGTTTATGAGTAGGGGAGATGAATTAGTTTCCTATTTAACATAAGAAATTGAATTGAGTTGATTTAAAGAAGTGGAATTGTTGACCCAGTGGGCACAAAAAATGGTTCAAGGTGGATAGGACATATATGGCATCTTAGTAAAAATAAAAAAAAAAAAGTGGGAAAGTTTTGAGAGGACCATAAAGAGTGGAATGCGCTGATGATTATATTTGGTCATTTCCAAATATAATCCAACATACTTTTACTCAATTGACTTTAAATTTAATCAAAATCTTATTAAGTATGTGAGTAAATAAGTAAATATTATATTTTAGATTGATGTTAGGATTTGAATGGGTCACACACCCAAATCCAAAACTAACAAATTATTTGGATTTGGTTGCTTTATCAAAAGAAATCAACTAAATATGGATATGCTGCAAGATAGGATTTTGGGTCAACTCATTCCATTTGATTCCCCAGTTAAAATGTCTAATATGTGTTAATTAATTAACGGACTAGCTGATCAAGATAAGATTGAGAAGAAATTTATAGAAGTTTTAAAATTTGACGAAGTTTTTTAATTAACGGGCACAACGTTTACAAAGTTTGACAAAAATTTTAAAATCTTTTAATGGGCACACCACATTTCACCTTCTAAGGTAAATGAGGCACTTAGGTTGTGTTTGGTTTGAAGAAAAAAGTAGGAAAAGGTAAGGAAACCTTTACAAACCTTGTATTGGTTTCCCTACATTTCCCTTCCTTTCCCTATCTTTTTCTTTCTTTCCCTACCCTTACAAACCTCATTGCATCTATGTCATAGTTTTTTTTTTCTATTTCTTAAGGAACAAAAAATTGGCAAAAGCACAACAGTTAGGAGAGAGTGTATTGAAGAGTTTATGCTGTTGAGTGGTTCCTTGAGATGGTATAAGAGCCTCTTTGACCAAGTGATCTAGCATGATATATAATATTGAGGAGTTTCAGCACAAGGTATCAGTGAGCCTATACTTGTTCACACTTCAAGTCCAATTGGCTTTCACGTAAAAGGATGTATACATGCACAAAGTATAATATAGATATATACATACACAAAGGGAAAACACCTTCAGGGGATTAAGGTAAATAGCCATCAGAAATTGCAGAGATACAACCTCAAAGCTCTCTAGACTTGAAACAATAGAAATAATGGCATTGATATTAGAATCTCATTGAAAGTACTGAACTTGCAATTCAATACCAGACTATACTTTAAATCAGTGTTTAGCATGATAGCAGAATTAAAACAAAAACTGGGTTCCCCCAAGCTCATAGGACTAGACCAACTTTATATTTTTTGCTTTTCAGTTTCTTCTCAATTTTCTTCTATATAGAACCACACAATCTATATCGATTCTTCAATCCCCAACCCTACAATGATTCTTGGATTATATAGTAAGTAGCTTATTCCTTCTGTTTACTTAGAAAAATGAAACCTAAATCTGTTAAACCAGTAAAGATGACTATTAAACATTAAATCAGAAATCATAATTCTAAGATGGAAATAAGTTAAGATCATAACTACCATGACATAGCATGCCCTGGTACATCAAATTCAGCCAATACATTGATTCCTCTTCTTTGAGCATAACTGCAGAATTAGTGATCATATATGATCTCAGAAACAAATGTTACAAGAGACAAAGAAAAGTAAAATAATATACACAAAGGAATCAAACCACTACCGCACAATTTCAGCTGCATCAACCATAGTATATCGTTCAGAAGCTGAATAAGCGCCATTCCACAATTTTGGAAATGATGGTATTTCCAAGGGGAATGATTGTGAATCCACAATGTGCCAATGTAGCACATTCTGTGTAAAATCAAATAAGAAGGCAAAGTTAAATTTAGGGTACCATCATACAAGACTAACTAAAGTTATGAATCTATAATATGTAGAAATGTCCATAAAAAAAAATCAAAGGAATATAGAATCCAATTCATGCCCAACACCTAAGGGTGTCAATGGACCGGTTTTGGATTGGACCCGTCCAGTTCAAAATCAATTTGGACGGATTGATGGACCAACAAGACATATTGGATTGGACCAATTCGGTCCAAAATATTTATTAGATTGGATTGGACCTGGTCTGTCCGTAACAAATTTATATTGGATTGGTGGATTAAGTCAATATCTGGTCCATTAATATAAGATAAGAATATATGTGTCAATGGATCGGGTTTGGGTTGGTACCAATGTAAATCAAAATGAATTTGAACAAATTGGACGCGGTCTAAGCATTGAATTGGCCCAGTCTAAATTGATCCAAAACGTTCATTGGATTGGATTGGACCTGCTCCATTTATAATGGACTCACACTGGACTGGATTGGATTGGACCAAATCCAGTCCAATTGACACCCCTAAACCATTTAGGAGTGTCCGTAAAAAAAACTAACTGGATTAATTAACACCTTGTAGAAGATTATCTTCCCCCTATATCAATTAATTTCAAGTTCATCAAGATACCCCTTAAATTCAATTTGTCAGTCACTCTGTGCAGTAGGGGTGCCAAATTAAACTGGTTTTGAATGGAACAAGCTAAATGCTATACAAGTAAAGAAGCTCTATGCCAATTGCAAGAAAACAATGAAATATCATGGGACAAATTCAGAAATTCTTGAGATATCCTCTAGAGCAAGGAGTCTGAACAACATAACTGCACCATCTTAGATTTGGAATGAAAGAATTATTCAGCTCCACAAGATGGACTATTTTATCAACTATTTAATAAGATACACAAAAAATGTGTGCAGGTTACAACATATCATCTACCAACCAAGTTCAAAATATCATCGGCCTGTATCGGTATTGTTTTTATGTTTTTTCTTTTTTTTTCGAAACTAGTTCAGAGGGGCCAGCTTAAGGCCGATCTATCCTCTAAATCACTCGCTGACCCGAAATACCCCTGTAAGGGCGTATCGGAAAGGCTCCAATACGATACTTAATGAAATTTTGATCCTTGATACCAACTTTGTAAATATAACCAGTTTTGGAAGTTGAACCCAAAAATTATATTCTGCATCACATACCAACTTTGAGTAGGCCATAGCATCAATGACACTCTTTATCGTCCGCAAAGGCAGATAGTGTCGAGAGGTATCTGCATTTCAATGAGTTGTAAGTAATGGAAAAGAAAGAATTAAAAAAAAAAGAAAAGAAAAGAAAATCGATTAACATCAAATGATGGTTGGAAGTATGGCTACATGAATTATCCTACATTTCAAAGGAATTTTCTACAAGAAAAAAGATTAGGAAAAAAAGACCCCATGCACTTGAAATTCATTTCTCAAAGACTTTATTTTGTGGATCATTTCCCACCCACCCCTAAAAGAAAGAATTAAGGAAGAAAATTGGAAAGATAATAGAAATAGAAAAATGTTAGCAGATCAAACTCACATAAACCAAATTAAACTTAAAACCCTTAAAAAATGAACAGATTAAAAATTACACTTATTTTATGCACCAAAATGTAAGGGAAAAACTAGTGGTATCAAAGAATAGAGTTTACATGAAATCACAAAACACTAAAATAATCAAGTAAACCAATGGCCAGTCATGCAGCCCATGAGGCAGGGGAAGAAGAGAAGATGAGGTCTTAATCAAGGTTCAAAATTTCGATACATATACAGCCCGATATATATCGTATTGGGGGCTTTTCAATAAGGGAGTAGACAGGCCTTAAACCATACCTTCTGAACCAGGTTTAAAAAAACACTAAAAAAAATAAGGGAGCGAGACCCTATACAATCCAATATGCCCCTAGCAGTGTACGTATCAATCTGTATCGATATTTTGAACCTTGGTCTTAACCCATGAGGCCCAGGGGAACAGGTCCTAGCCCAATACAACACAAAGAGATGAGGCACAAATAGGCAATGCCACATCCCATGAAGCTACAAAGTCATGGCAAGGTCACAAAACCTGTAAGGCTGCCAAATTGCAAGGCCACGAGACTATCATCTCACAAGGCCGTGAGGCCAAGCTATGGAAATAAGTTGCTTGTGGGTAAGGGTGTCAATGGACCAGTTTTGGACTGGACGGGAGTTTTGGATTGGACCCCGTCCAGTCCAAAATCAATTTGGACGGGTTGGATGGATCAACAAGACATATTAGATTGGAGTTGGACCAATCTGGTTCAAAATATTTATTAGATTGGATTAGACCTGGTTCATCTGTAATAAATTTATATTGGATTGGGTTGGATTAAGCTAATATCTGGTCCATTGGTATAAGATAAGAATATAGGTGTCAATGGACCAGGTTTGGGTTGAAACCAATCTAAATCAAAACGAATCTGAACAAATTGAATGGTCCAGACATTGAATTGGACCGGTCCAGAATGGTCCAAAAAATTCATTAGACTGGATTGGACCTGATCCATTTATAATGAACTCACATTGGACTGGATCAGATTGGACCAAATCCAGTCCAATTCACACCCCTACTTGTAGGACTGCAATGAACAAGTTTTGTTTGAATAGAGTTCTTCTTTGTTGGCATCCTGCACCTAGTTCCCTAGGAGTGCTCCTTTGTCCCCAGCTCCCCATGTTTCCTTCTTCCTCTTGGGAGTCACCTGTTAATCTGTTTGGTACTGCTTCTGTTTCTACCAGGTAAGCAATAAAGCAACGTTTTTCATCACCATTCTTCTTGAATGTGCAATATGCTTGTACAAATCAATGCCACATCAGAGAGCCTTTAGGAGCAACGGTTCACCGATGCAGCAAATGTCAAATTTGATAAACGACATCAATACCAAACATCCCCAAATTGTTCCTAAGGTTGAATGGTGTAAACAAATTCTTCCACAATGTCAGATACCAATTCGACCGGTCTTTAACTTCCATCTCATTTTCATTCCTGGTAACAACACATCAGTTAAATGGTGGAAGCTCTGCCATACATAACTTTTTTTCTGGATTAACATGGCTAGTCCCATCTCTCAGAACAAGATTTCCAGTATCTATTGATACTTGACTACTCTTGAAGAATTCAAAAACCAGATAATGTTCCCTGTTGGGTCGAGAAGAAACAGATTTCCATTATTGCTCATCCTTAAAAAGTACTCCAAATGAATCTATCCATGAGAGGATTGTCTCTGTATGCAACCCAAATAACTGTTTGAATTGGGATATTCTTGTACCATATTATATTCCCACATATCTGTTCTTAGATTGAAGAAGCCTAATTCAAAGATTTCCCCAAAGGAAACTAATGTGTTGTGTGGCTAAAACCACTGATGGATTGAAACGGGTAAGAGACTATCATAAGCTGCAATGGAGTTATATACCAGATCAGAGAATGATGTAGTAGTAAAATATTGGGAAACAAAGGCCTTCCATTGGTCTTCCTCGACTATTCTGAGAACCGACAGATGAAACGATCATCTTAAAATAGATGAGCAGCACGGTTGAAGCTAGAAGAGGTCATGTCACTCATGTGTGAACAGGCTTTATGTCATACCTCAAAGGATGATGTTAGATAAAAAACTTCAAACGTTTAACAATGGCAACTCACAGACAATAGAACACCATCAAGAGCTGTGAGAGAGAGATAGAGATAGGAGCAAGGTTCAAAGTAATCGACATGTATCGGTCAGTATTGGCTGATATGTATCGTATTGATGACTTTCCGATATGCCCCTACAGGGGTTGTATTGGATCAGACCATGGTTCAGAGGATAGCCAGGACTTAAACCGATCCCTATGAACTGGTTTTGAAAAAATAAATAAAACATATAAAAAAGCACCGATACATTGTGATGACAGTGTATCGGTGGTTGTGTCAAGGCATTTGATTGTTCATGACAGTAAAGAGCAGCTTGGTAATTTTGTTATCCATTGTGATGTTGGTTTATGACACTTTTCAAAGTTTACATACTAAAGTTAGACCACCCCCAAAGTACAGGTACTAATCTGCAATTTATCTTAAGACTTGATTTGTTTTACTTTTAGTCTACATTTGATTAAAGGCAATTGTACATGGTTTCGCTACCTTTCCTTATTTTTTCTTTCAAACCAAACACAGCTTTAGGGACATTAAAGCAACTCTTTAATGAAAAGTATTTGGAATGTTGATTCTATTTATAGATTTAGAAAAGATAGAAGGAAAAAGAAGAGAGAGAATACTTAAAATCATTCAATGGGCTTTGAGTATGTTTTGAGGCCCATGGGCTTGGGCTGTATCAGGCCCATTTCTTTTTCAGATGGGGCTTGGACTTCTTAAATAATCTTGGCCTGAGCCCGAGCCCGAGTCCGGTCCAATAATATTATATACAATAAAATATATATTAATAATATTATATTACTCATATATTAGTAACATTTACTTTTACTTCCAATTCAAATCGAGCTTTGGGTTTGGGATTGGGCTTGGACTTGGGCCTGAAAAATTTGTAAACCACGGACCGACCCCGGCCTGTGAATAGGTCTATACAATATACATTAAAATTTACCACCTAAGACAAATATATAGATGTTAGAGTTAGAGTTGCCTACTAGAAGTCTATAACAAGAAAAAACAAAATTGTCATATCATAAGAAAATACTTGCTAAACTAGTTAACAAATGAAAATGAAATTTTAAACACAAATATAATATGAAAAGACAATAAAAAAGGTTAGGTCCAACCTCATATAAAAAACTATAAATTGGTAAAAATGTACCTACTATTGGGATGCTTCAGGGGATAATATAAGGAATCAATTTAAATATGAATTGAATATGAATATGCACTGGTTTGAAGGAAAAAGTAGGGAAAGGTAAGATAAGAAAATCTTTACAAATCTTGTATAGATTTTCCTACCTATTCCTTCCTTTCTCTACATTTTCCTTCAAACCAAACATAACCAAAGGGAATCTCACCAATTAGAAGCCCTCGATAAGAGAACCTTGGCTGATCTTCAATGGTACATGGAGTCGGACGGACTTCAATTATTCTGGTTTCAAGATTTAAATGGCACAATTGGCTAAAAGTCTGCAAGAGTTGATCCAAAAAGTAAAAGCAGAAAATATATAAGATTGGACACATCTTGAATATGAGTACTAAATGAACAATCGTAGAAACAAGAGGGGTAGGAACCAACCTGCAGTCCATGTAAAGCACCATAAACTGTCTGTGCCTATATTTTCGTTCAGAAAAAAAAAAAATGAGTTCTCCAGGAAATAGGGGAAAAGGAAAATGAAATGCTATCAACTATAAAAGAATAGTCAGGCCAACAAAATGAAAAAAAAAAATACTGATTTAAGCATGTTAAAACCGGACCGATCAGGCAGTCGGACCGGAAAAACTGGGAATTGGTTAGGTGATTGGTTCCGTTTTACCCCAGAACCATTATTTCCCCAAAAACGTTGATTTGGTCAGCAAACCGCTGATCCGGGCCATCGAACCGTTCAACGGTTTGGCTGGTTTTTATTTTTTTAATTTTTTATTAGAACGGGCCGTCTGTTTGGTTCGAACGTTCGGACCATTTGATCTGGGAACCGAACCCCTGACTGGTTCGTTGTCTGATTCAGTTTTAAAAACCTTAAATTTAAGGGTATTTATTATATGATCCAGACCTAACCAAATTAAAATTGATAGTTTGATTTGGAAACGGTCTGGACTTAAAAATGGTCTAATTTGGTTAGGAAAGATTTTAAAATTTGGTTTATGATTTCTGTCCGATTGCAAATTTCGTAAATCAGACTAAACCATAAACCAATTTCTATCTATCTATATATATAATAACTGTCTAACTCTCTAGCATATTATGTATTAGTATTAATTATATTATATAATGTATCAAGGTTTTAAATATCGATTTGTCCAATACGCCGGTGGGGGCATATTAATACTTTTTTAATGTTTTATTTTTTTTTTCAAATCTGATTTAAGGGGCCGATTTAAGGTTCTTTCACCTCTGAACCGGTCAAAACTACGATACACCCTCTGTAGAGACATATCCGGATACTCCCAATATGATACAAATGCGTAACAATTTTTTAAACCTTGTAATGTATATTATTATGGCGGTGGCTACAGAGAATCTCCAAGAGAAGGAGAAAAAGAGAGAGGAGGAGGAGGAGAAGACCTAATGGGTCCCCATATGGGTATGGGGGTGTTTTGGGCCTCCATTTTCCGGAATTTTCTTATACTTAATCTTTACCCATTTTACCCTTTTGACAATTATTTTAGAGAGTTCTAACACCTAAATTAATGCAGTTAACTTTGTTTAAGTGGGTAATTGGCCTGGACCGATCCAATCTGACTCGTGTTTAGTGGTTTGGTCTATATTTTTTCAAACCAGAACGAACCAGACCATGAACAACAACCCTATACCAACCGATTGTTTAAAATCCAATCAACTTTGAAGATTTTGTTTTCTTTAGATGGCATGACTTTTACACATGTAGTTTCGTAGGTGACACCGTGACACTAGTACTCAATGGATTCTTCCAACATCAATGTAGCTAAAAGAGATTTCAGAACTTTATACAAATTAAACTCAGCAGAAGAAGGAAAGAAAAGATTGATAGTCAAAACTAGAGATCTTAACATGGTAAACCTATAGATGCATAAGACAATGATTGAACCAGGCTTTGGCTACCCAAGCGGCTAGGCCCAACTAAGTTTAGGGCAAGCATAAGTTTTTTAGCCCAAACCCAGCCCACAACCTAAAACTCAGGCCCAACTAGAGAAAAATCTCGGATTAGGTTGGGTTAGGCTTAAGTTGAGCCTTCCCAAGTTGCATCTCTACTAACATGTGACCGTATTAATTGGGTCAAATGGTTCAATTAACTAGGGTAATGTTTGGTATCGTTGTCAATTTTTACCACGTCAGAGCCACATACTCAAAAGTTTGTCCAATTCAACCACATATTGAAAATATTGATATAAACTAAGATTTGCAATTATTTTTATTTGGTTGAAAAAGGCAACAACAACAATAAGAATAATTCCCCCGTACATTATGTTTTGATTACTTATCTTTGTTACATAGATTTGATAATTCCCCCAAACTTATAAATCCCCTAACCCAGATTCAAGCAGGATTTGATCCCAAGTCTCCGCTACAACCAACAAAAAACCTTATCAATCAACCGGTTGATACCTTACTACTTATAGTTGTAGCGTAGACTCCATTCAATTCAACAAGCTTCTATTGAAACTGTGGGGAGCATGAGATCTAACTAGCTACATACACACTCATATATAATGAAGTGTTCATTTCAATCTATTCTCATACATAAGCTTTAAATCTATACTCACCTCAAGTTGTGCATAATTTGGATTTCCATTTCCTGGCACTGATAACTTGTAGGACTCATCAACACCATATTGTAACTGCAAGAGCAAAAGGACAGCTTCATTTGAAAGCTCCACCAAGGAAAGCATTTAGTCCACCAAACCATTAATTTCATTTTGAAACCGAAGATTCATCATATGAATTTCATAAAATAGCTATAAAATAAAAAAAAAATCAAGTTGGGCCCACTTATAGTAAAGCAAGATGTCCTCTTTATTTTATCTAGAGAAGCAAAATTAACTTTTCTCTAACCCAAAAATGAAATTATCATAAGTATTTATGATCCTTTCCCCCATAATGGAAACGATCCTTGCTGAGTTTTATTTTTCTTTTATTGTTCTTTTTAAAAGGTATATATTCAAGGAAAAAGAGAAAAGGAAGAGTGGACAACCAGGGAGCACAAATATGAAATACCCATTGCTAACGCTTACTATAAAGGTTGGGCAAGTGTTTCTTGAAAAACACTTGTCCAGATAAGAGCATTTATCAGAGTTTTTTTATTCTCCAGGTAAAGATGTACAATGACTGATTTATCCAAAAAAGTGACATTATTGAAGAGACAATATTGTCCATCACATATTAGCAATTTTTGGCACACATGGGTAAATAATTCATTTGAGATCACATCTATGCCCTGCACAGCACGCCCCACGAGAACCCCACAATGCATCCAAGCCGTGCATTGGGAACATCTCCCAATGACAAGTATGGGAGATGTTCCCAATGCAAGAGCATTTATCAGTGTTTTTTTATTCTCTAGGTAAAGATGTACAATACTGATTTATCCAAAAAAGTGGCATTATTGAAGAGACAATATTGCCCATCACATATTAGCAATTTTTGGCACACATGGGTAAATAATTTATTTGAAATCACATCTATGCCCCACACAGCACACCCCACGAGAACCCCGCAACACATCCAAGCCGTGCGAGACCTACCAATGCACGCTCAGATGTGTCACAAGGCGCAGATGTGAATTCAATGCACGCTCGGGAATCTGTCTTTTTTGTGAGACTCACTAATATCAGAAAAGGAATGTGAATTTATGTCTTTCATGAGAGACCTACCAACCTATCTGCTTGCCCCTACTTCCCGAAAAATGAATGAGACCTAGGTCACAACATTTTTTCCTCTACCCCTTCTACCTAGGGGTGTCAATGGTACTCGAAAATCCGATTTCGAATTCAAGATTTGACATAATCGAATCGAATTTAGATAATTCTAATATCTAATCGGTTGAATTCGGATATCCTGTTCATATCGAATAGCTAATCGAATTTGAATTTGGGTATGACATGATTCAATTCGTTAAATATCCGAACTTGACTGATTATTTAATTCTTATATATAATATATAAAATATTTCAATATTTTATATAATTTATATACATAATAATTAAATTATATAAATAATTTAAATACTTAGATACTTAATTTATATAAATAAAATATTTATTTTATATTTATTAATTACCTAAAATAATTAATTGGTTGAATTCCAATCGAATCAAATTAGAATTGGAATACTAATTTTCAATATCCGTTGGATATCAAATCGATTTCGGATATCGAATTTTCTAATCGGACTTGAATTCAAATATTGCCTTGTTCGATTCGAATTCGATCCATTTACACCCCTACTTCCACCCTTCTGTCAAATAGTACTTCTACTTCAAGCTTTCACTACCACATCATCGTAGGAATCCACCAATTTTCTTGCTTCCATAGATCCTCGGAGACAATCTAGACTCTCAAAAGACCAATCTGAGTCATCACTTCTCTTAGCAAGTTGATCCTTCACCTCTCCTAGTATAACCGATTCTTCTTCATCTTAACCCGAGCTTCTTGATCCTTTAACTCACTAGGATCTAAACTACTCCAACCACACATTGTTCTATTAGATTAATTGAGATCATTTTATTTCCTACCCTCATGACCTCCTTAACTCAAAAATCTCTGCTTTCACTAGAGGGTTCTCACTTGCACTTGGGCTTTCCTTGCGAAAGCCTCAACCTTCCCCTGCCCCACTTATAGGGCAATTTGTTCACTCTCTAAGTAAGGAGAATGATTGTTAACAGACCCACCAGATATTATCTTCCCAATTTTGAATACCAACTCCCTTAGGTTTTGTTTGGTTTGAAGGAAAAAGTAGGGAAAAGAAAAGAAAGGGAGGAAAACCTTTATAAACATTGTATAGATTTTTCTACTTTTCCTTTTCTTTCCCTACCTTTTCTTTCAAACCAAACATGACCTTAGAAGATCACCTACACATTATCCTAACCCTAGGTTGTTTAGATACGCCATAGATGGGCATTATTTTTTTAAGTGTAAATTCTAACCTATTTTTGTTTCAAATTTTAGCTTATTTTGTTTGATTGCAATACAAATAGAATAAATTAAGACATGAAGCAGAATAAAGTAAAACACAAAACAAAGTTAAACAAGAATCTACATTTTTTTTCATTTGCACTCCCATGCATTTGTGCAAATGCAAATAAAATTTCACTGCAACCAAACACTGCCTTAGGCTCAATTTGAAAAGAGTATAAATACAAATATGTACAATACAAATTTATACAAAATAATACAAAATACAAGGTTTTAAAATATATATTTGTATTCGAACTCTTTCTAAATTGAGCTTGTACCCAAATCATAAGATACTCTTTGATATAATTGATTGGGACGTCAACTTGATTAGCTTGGCTCACAGGCTTGATATAGTTGATCTCCCTGCATGTAACAATGCCTACATCTTGGCCTTGACCACAGAGGTCTGATCCACAGCTAAATCCATTTTCATTTAGGGGTTCAAATGGATCAGATCGGATTCGGATCAGGGTATATCCAAATCTGATCCAACACTGTTTATAGTGAATCTGATCTGATCGGATCTGATAAGCAAGGATTTGAATTCGAAATCAATCGAAAAGTTGGATCTTTGGATTTGATTCGATCCGATTTATTTTCTTTAAAAATTAATAAATTATTAAAAAAATAAAATATACTAATTTAAATAAAGAAAATAAAAAATATAAGTATTTTTTAATTATTTATATATATATGTTTTTTATTAAAAAATAAACAATATAACAAATTTACAAAAATATAATCTAATAATATATTTATAAATAAATAAGGGAGGGAGTGATCCAAATCTTATCCAATTTCTGATCAAATCCTATTATCCAATCTAAAGATCCGAAAAGGGGTGATTCGAATTCGACCAACTAGGACCGAATCTCAGCCGATCATGATCCGGTTCATTTGCACCCCTACATTCATTGTTGTTAACTCTATAGGTGACTCAATTTGAGGCAACGGTAATTCAAAATATGAATTTAATTTTGAAGGGAAGGATAGTGTTGTGAGAAGTGAACAGCATGTGTGGATTATTAGCTGTCTTTATTTATTTATTAATTTGTATTTGTATTGGGCCTTAGTTATTAGGTCCACTAGTACTGATGAGGTATTGACGGGTCAGCTCATTAATCAGGGGCATTAGTGTTGTATTACAAAGACCACCTTTTATTATGGGGCCACTTACAATTATCCCCTTAATTTTCATTTGTGACACCCTGAACTTTCAATTTGTGACAAATACCCATCTCTATTAGAGTTTTGCCAGTGAACTTCAAAAAATATTTTTAGTTAGTTATTTATTTTTTTTAAATCTCCAAATTACTCTATTTTTATTTTTTTGAACAATTTGTAACTTTATTAGTTTTTTGAATATAATATTGAAGTCCTCTCGATTGTTCTAATAGATCTTTACATATGTCTGACTGGATTCAATATTCAAATGAAATGGTAGAGATTTTTTCTGATAGATATAAATTTAAGGTTTCATTTTGTTTTTCTTAATTTATTAGAGAAAGGAGTGATTAATTTTCTATATTTTAAGATGAAAGAGACATTATTCATGTTATTGAAATGAAAAAAGAACTTAATTTTTTTTTATGTCAGTGAAATTATTCTTGTATTTTAGCTAGTTTCGTTTGGAGAGAATGGATGTATTCTTGGGTTAAGTAGGGCTTAAGAGAACAGGGAAATGAAAAGAAAATAAGTAACGCTTATGTGGGTAGTTTAGTAATTTAATGCATTCTGTCACTAAATAGCCTAGGGGTATTTGTCACAAAGTGAAAGTGCAGGGGTCTTTGTTGCAAATAAAAGTTTAAGGGGTAATTGTCACTGGCCCCATAGTAGAGGAGGTCTTTGTTGCAAATGAAAGTACAGGGAATTGTCACAAACACCATAGTACAAGGGATCTTTGTAATTTACTCTAATTTTTTTATTTAGTTTTCCTACCTTTTCTTTCAAGCCAAACACAACCTTAAGGAATTAATTAGGGCTGGTCAGATCATTATTATATTCCATTTTGATGCCCATTCTATCAAGTTCTCTCTTCTTTCTTCCTCTCTAACTCTTGCAGGTTGGAAACATGGTATTTGAGCATTAAACTATGTTTGCTTCTTGGACTGATCTGCTTTTCCCCTCTTTTCTTGTTTAGATCATCCACTCTTGAAGATCAACTCTAGGTTTTTCTTTGGTAGTAGGGACCAAGTGAAGCTTTAGTTTTTCTTTTATGCCACACTAGATTGGTATGAAGGGCATAGCCATCCAACTATGAGAGAGAGGAGACTACCTTAGGATGTCGGTTTCAGATTGTGGATGGAGGGCCAAGCATTGCTATAGGGTTCTTGGTGCAACCAGTGGATGTCTGTTACAAGTTTTTTTATGCAACCAGTGGTGTTTTCCAGTTCAACTGTGTGTGACAGCCCTCTACAAAGTTAGTCCTTTAGTTGTAACAGTCTTGTGTAACTATTGGAAGATCAAAGATGTCTTTGGTGTCGAGAAAAGAAGAAGAATATAGGGTTATGGCTCATGGGGTAGCAAAGTCATTCTGGCTACAAATTCTAATTACTCAATTGCTATTTGTATTGCAAATAATCTAGTTCAGCATGACAGGATAAAACATATTGAGGTCAACAGACATACTTTGTTAGAAAAAGAGTTATTTCAGGTAAACTATGTATTAATTCCCTACACCTCTTCAGAGCTATAGTTAGTGGATGTCCTAAGGGACTTACCTCAATGAAATATGGGCCCCTTGACAAGTCAGATCATTAATTAGGTGCATTTGTGTCCTTTCATGTATTATTAGTCTTTTTTTACTTAAGAAATGAAAATTAGGGTTGGCCAGATCATTCTATTTTACTGCCCATAAGTTCTCTCTTCTCTCTTCCTCTCTAACCTTTGCATGTTGGGAACATATGGATCCACACCCACACCACCCCATCCACCATCACTATCACTAGAGGCAAGTTATTGGCCATCATCATTGATGGTGGTTTTTCGATACTACCTCAAAACTAGTTCACTAGGGAATGGACTTTGTTCATGGGCCGAGTAGCTTAATGGGCCAGCCCGGCCTGACTTGATACTACTACATATAATAGAAATATATATTATTTATATATAATATATATATATATTTATTAAATTATTATCAAATATTAATTTATTTTTCAAAAAATATAAATTAATATATTAATTTATTAAATTATTACCAAATTAGTATAATATTAGTTTATTAAATTATACAAAAAATAAGACATTTTATGTGCAAATCAGGCTTTAAGCCTTATATAAGAGCCAAACTCGGACTCAAGATCTAGGCCTGAAGGTTGGGCCAGACTCAGGCTTGAGCCTATACATTTTCTATTGATAAAGAGGCAGCTCAACTTTCCTAGCCGTAGGTTGCCATGTGGGGATAATAATTCACAATCTCCCTTTTCAACATCCACACCCTAGACATAAAACCAACTCCCTTTACAATAACCTCAATTGTTTTAAGAATTTCAGCCAAAAACCTACACCATATTAGCAATCATACAGATTCTAAAACATTAATTCCAATCTAGATTAGCTATGCCTACAACAATGAAACCACCTAATGCATCACCAATTTCCTTAAATGTCTACAACAATGAAGCCTAAAAAGTCAAATCCACCATTTACCATACTCCCCTAACTCTTAACCACATAGGACAAAAGGATTCAACCTCAGTAAAGCTAGGACAAAAGTTGCACCAAATGCTTACTTGAATGTAGAGCTTCCAATGCCTCTAAATCCAACATGAAAATGAGAAGAACCCTCTTTCATTGTGTTGAGTGCTTCCTCTTCCTCTTTCATTGAAGGGAGGGCAACCCATGGTTTTTCTTTTCAAAGACCAAAATCAATCTTTCTATTGCTCCATGTTAGAGAGTTTTTGGTTAATTAGTACTTTTGCCCTGAACAATGATATAGTGGTGACTGCCTTGAATCAATATCATGTTCTTTTATGTTTTAATGATGAATATGAGTTCCTTAGGGTTTGGATGAAGGAAATTTTTTTCATAAAAGATTTTTAATTTTCATTTGCTTAAGTCGATTCTAGGATTAGAAATCAATTGGGAGTCCTCTATTGTTCCTTAGGGTTTTGATCAATTTCCCCAGTTGTTTGTTATCCTTTACAACATGTTTATTCATTTAATTGCACAAGTGGTGGGTAAGGTAGTGCTAAATAAGTGAATGTACATCAACAAAACCCCATACATTTGTTCTTGCAATTAAAAATACTACAAACAAACTAAACCCTAAGATAAAATTGGGATCTTAGTAGCCCAAATTCTCAGAATATGGTGAGAACAAAGCAACCTATAGAGCAACCAAAGTGATCAAATTGGGATCTTATCTTTGATAATCAGCATACTACTCCTGGAGACATGTCAGGTGTTCGGGAAAATGACCCTATGACTAATAGTACAGATCAGGGTGCATCTGCACAAAAGGTATTCAACAAAATGCCGAGAGGAACACAGTGAAGGAGCATGGAGATCAAGTAGAGGAAGGTAATCAAAAGTTTTTTGACACAAAATTGCAATGAAGAGTGTGATGATGGTAAATCATATTTAAATCAATGGAGTCATGATGATTAAGAGATTGAAATCCATCATAATGTAGGCTTCCTTTTTCATAGATCTCATAGCTATACAGATAGGGTGTTTTTGATGATATATGTATGATGACCTCTATTCATATAACCACTCCTGCAAAGAAAATTGTTCCTATAGGTGAAAACCCAATTACAATTGCTATATTCAAGGAGACAAATGACTCAAATCAGAAGTAGGTAATAGTGGAAAGCAAGAGGAAGAAAAAGAATTTTACATCTAAGAAGATCCAAAAGAGACATCTCATTCAAAACATGTTCATAGATCCTCTAGACCAAACAAAGGCTACCACCCCGTTATTATTAATTAAACTACCCTTGTTCTTTTGTTTTCTTTTGTCTCAAGCTTCTGCACATAGTTTTGTTTCGAGGATTAGCTCTCATGCCCAATCCTTCTTTTATTTATTAATAAATTCTTCTTTTCCTTGTAAAAACTATACCCACTTTGTCTATCTTTTCAGCCCACTACTCTCTACCCGCCTTAAATTGCAGCCACACATCGTCATCTTGAATCTTCTCAGAAATCCGGGTTCCTTTCCACATCTCTGGCTTTGCTCACACTCATATCAAAGACCACAACATTGTTTGAAGCACCGATCACTCTCACAAATGTATCCCCACCCCTTCTAAGTATTAATGATTTATCTTCTCATATCCACACAATAAAAAAAAAAAAAAAACATTATAGATCTTTTTTATCATCTTATAGTATATAAGGTTTTAGTTGTGAATAAAATACAGCATTGAATTGGCTTCATGGTGATGGGAAAGGGAAAATCAACAAGATAAACATTTGTTCATTTTCAAAATGAAGTTACCTTTCAAGAGAAACAACAATTTCAAGTAGGAAATTCTGATTCAAATTCTCATCCAGCATTCCTTTTCCTTTATGTTGGATGAAGATATTAAGAGGGCAAATACATGTTCCCTAATACTGATAACCTACAAATTATCACCACCATATGAATTATATATAGCAACTAAACCAGTTCAATATAAGCAAATTAAATGGACCACCCTTAATTCCTTACAACATAAGCAGCAATATTAATTTATCAATTCTTAGAATCAAGCTCCTATTCATTTTTCTAAATAGAATCAAACATGATTGCTAGGGGTGGCAAATGGGTGAGTTGGGTTGGGTTGCGTAAGGGTTGAATACCAGCCCACCCATATTGACCCACCAGCCCACCATGACCCATCGTCAATTCTTGTTAAAGGGTCATAACCCACCTTAATCATGACCCACCCATATTGACCCACTTGACCCATCCATATTGACCCTTAACCACCCTCACTCATACTGACCCACCTATAAATACAAAAATGGGTCGGGATGACCCGCATATTTGAAATAACAATTTTTAAGAGGAACATCTCTCTATTAAGGTTGTCATGTGGCAGAAACGGGTCGGGTCGACCTGTACACCCAAAGATAACAAATTTTTGAGAGGAACATCTCTCAAGACTATCACGTGGTAGAAATGGGCTGAGGCAACCCGTATACCCAAAAAAAACAATTTTTGAGAGAATAATCTCTCTCAAGAATGCCACATGAAAGAATCGGACCGGGTCGACCTGTATACCTGGAAAAAAAAAACATTTTTGAGAAAATCATCTCTTAAGATTACCATGTGATAGAAACGGGTTGGGTTAACCCTTATATCTGAAAAAAAAAATATTTTTGAGAGAATCATCTCTCTCAAGACTACCACGTAACAAAAACGGGTCAGGTCAACCCGTATACCTGAAAATGCAAATATTGTAGATAAATGCAGAAAATGCAAAAAAAAAAAACAAAAATTGCAGAAAATAACAAAAAATTACTAAAAATGTAGAACTTTTGTAGAAAAATCATAAAAAATGAAAAAAATACCAAAAAATTGAAGGAAATGAATGAAAACATTAGTAAATGCAGAAAAATTATAAAAAATGCAAGAAAATGCCATATATTTTCAAAAAATGTAGAAAAATACCAGAAAATTACAAAAAATGCATAACTTTTATTACAAAAGTAATTCTACAAAAGTGCTTTCGTAAAAGTGCTTTTGTATAAAAGTACTCCTGTAAAAGTGCTGTTATGCTTTCATAAAATCACTTTTGTAAAAGTGTTGTTGTGTAAAAGTGCTTTCGTAAAAGTACTTTTATAAAAGTGTTTTTATGCTTTCATAAAAGTGTTTTCATAAAAATACTTTCATAAAGTGCTTTTGTGCAAAGGTACTTTTGTAAAACTGCTTTCGTAAAAGTATTTTTCATAAAATTATTTACTAAAATTGCTTTTGTAAAAGTGCTTTCATGTAAAATTGCATGTGAACATGAAAGTTAATAATTTTTTTTTTAATCTTAATCACAAAATAAAATGTGGGATGGTAATTTGGATTTGTAATGAGATGTGGACGCGCTAGGAGGATTGAGTTCGTATCACGTTAACTGTTGTTATTTTGAGATTTGGCGAGTATAGATAGAGCTTAACTTTGACCCAACCTATCCTGACCCGCACGACCCAACCCATCCTGGCCCTAATGAGTACCTTCAACCCAACCCACCCTCACTCTTTTTCCATTGATCCTAATGGGTTACTCGACCCATATTAACCCGTCAATAGAATGGGTGGATATGAATGGGTCAAATGGGTTGGGGTCAAGATTGCCGGCCCTAATGACTGCAGCTTATTCCATCTGCACAAAATTGGAATCATCTTTAAATCTTCTATACTTCCCAAATAAAAATTAAAAAGAATAAACAAATCAACCTCAAGAAGCTCATAACCCTTGAACAGGTATGTCTAAAATATTGCTTAGGATCAAATTATTTTATCTGTTAATACCTCATCACTAGACGAGGAAATGATCACATGCAAGCCCAGGAGCATTGGAAAATTGTTGAAATTGGTCAGCTTGTCTGCAGCACGACTAACATCAATAACGTCAAGCAATCTTGAGAACCCATCTTTCAGTATCCCAGATCCATCAGCATACTTGCTTCCTTCTGTTTTCAGTGCAAAATTCTTTCTCAGACAGTGAGTCTGCAAACCATGGTTGACTGATACTGGCATTGGCCACAGGTTTAACGTCTCATCAGCAGATGTTGAGGCAAGAATACATGCCAATAAGAACCCTAACCAAAAGAATCCAGCTTTCATCCCCATTTACGAATATCCTGCAGTCAGACAAAGTTTTGAATAAATAGAGAACTCTTTTGCGGATTTCTCAAATTAATGTGGGAACTCAAACCGATTGAATTTCATAAATTTAAAGTGCAGGATTTATCATCTAAAAATTAATTGTTGAGGAAAACGGAAGAAGCTGATGGTCCAAAGAGAATTATTTTGATCCTGCTTCTGAATTTCAAATACTTTGGTTGAAACTCTTTGTAATACTTACTATTTAAATAAATCTCAAAAGAAACCCAGCTCAGAAATAACCTTGGAACCTGATGAACAGAAGTGTGGGAAATAGGGGGAAGATGATGAAGAGAAGACAAATGCTAGAAGGTTTGAATCTTAGGGTTTCTGAAGCTGATTAGGTTTTGGAATCCGGAGGGCTTGAAGGGACTGTTACGTGCCACATTAATGCATGAGCCATGCAGAAAGGATTAGTTGGACAATTGTTGGGAGTCATCAATACCGTGAGCCTTATTTTAGGTATCTTCACTTTTGTAGGAGTTTGTTTCTGACTTCTGAGCACTAGGTGATGTAAAGTTTGAGCATGAATGGGTCTTAATTGTGTCTCATGTTTGTAGGATGACAGTTACAGGGTTGTAATAAGATTGGATTTTGTTTATTTCGGCATAAAGCTTTCGTTTGGTGTAGGTCTTAAAAGTTAAATTTGATTTTAGTATAGGTCATAAAAGTTAAATTTGATTATATAATATAAATTACATTTTTATTTTTTATCATTAATAACAATATGTGTCACTTACACTTAAAAAAAAAGGAAGTTATTATTTTTAAATTTAAATTCCAATACCATTTTATTTAATAAAGGAAGTCCAATGTTATTAAATTAATGGGTTCGAATATGATATTGGAAAGGCGTAATATTGAGAAAACTCACTATCAACTAGCATCATAAAAGATATGACCAATTAGGTGGTATTAGTCAAAATTCACGAGGTGCTTTGATTGGTTAAAGCTCTTCAGATACCATGGTTTTCCGTTATCATAGATTTTTCCTAAGGTTGTATAGGTTTCCCTACTTTTTCCTTCAAACCAAACACAACCTAAATTAATGAAGTGGTTAGGATTTCATTTCTTTATAAATGAAGCAAATATAAATATACTCCAATCCAATTCAACACAATCAAATGATTTTTAAACATTCACATTTGTACATATCATCATCATCTAAGTCTTGTCCCAACCAAATGGGGTTGGCTACACGAGTTCCATTTCATTGTTACATTCTGTTTAGTGCCATATATGCCGTTGAGTGCTTAAATGATTTGTTATTACTTATACGCCCAAGTCCTTTTGGATTTGCATGCCTCTAACTTTTTTAGCCCTTCACCTTGTAATATATCTCTTTTAACATATGTTCTAGATGGTTTTCTGTGCATGTGACCAAATCATTTCAATCTATTTTCTCTCATTTTATTATCACCTACAAGTGGAGACCGTGTGATGCACGGGATTTGTTAAGCGAAAACTAAACAATAGAAACACATAAAAATATACAATTATTTTATATTTTTAACTTTTTAAATAATTAATAACTATATATTTTATATACTACTTTACTAATTTTTTTACAATACAAAAATAACAATAATTAATTTTATCTAGGGTTATACATCAAACTGATGAAACCAGCCAACCCAGCCAACTCGACCCAAGTTGGTCACTTTTCTAGTATTTCCAATCAACTTTGGTTCAACAATTTCCCAACCCAGCCATGTTGGATTAGTTTCGCTTTGGCCATTTATAAATCGACCAAAATCGAATGAACTAACCATAGATATATATTAATATTTTATATTTTTAATATACTTTTTTTAATACAGAAAAGTGGGAAATTTCTCATATTTCTTAGTCTAAAATATTTTATATCATAAATTTAATTTTTAAATTATTTTTTAAAAAATGTCACCGTAATTTTTTAAATTTAAATTTAACTTTTTAAGTTTAAATCTTTTGAACCGACCGATCAAACCAAAAATCGACTTAAATCGGTACAACCTGAGTTAGCTAGTTTTCACTTATGGTTAGTTGGGTTCGGATGACCAACTCTCTAACTTGACCAGGTCGATTTGGTTAGCCAAATAACCTACAACTGAGCCAAACCAACACGTGAACACTCCTAATTTTAACTAAATTAATAGTCTAATCTCTAAATAAATAACAATAGTTTATTGTCCAATAATTATTGAATATTTATAGAAAAATATACAATTATTGAAAATATATAGATAATGAAAATACAGTAAATAACTAATAAAAATACAATAAATACTAAAAAATATATTAAATTAGTTAATAAATAGTTTAGTCTCTAATAAATATTAATCAATAAATTATAATAAAAATAAAATAAATACAATAAGAACAATAAATTAAATTTAAAAAGTTAAATAACAGTAGTTTAATCTGCAATAATTATTGAAAATTTTATATTAAATAACAAAAAAGAATTATACATAATTATTGAAAATATACTTATCACAAAAAACAATAAATTATTATTGAAAATACAATAAGTATTAATTTTAGTATACGTTAATATTTTAAAATAATAAATATTAACTTTTAAAGTTTTTTCTAGAATTATTAATTGATATAAGTGAAATTAGTTATTTACAATATTATTTAGTTATTTAAATAATATCATTATTTCAATTTTAAAATATTAGTTATTTATTGAATTTAATAATCCATAAAATTATAATTTATACTATTATTACATAATATCATTATTAAATTTTCTAAAATATTAAATTATTACTAATTTAAATATCATCTTATATTTATTTTTCTACTTTTAAGTTTTTTTATTTTATTACATAATATTAAATATTTTATATAGTTATGTAGCTATTTTTAATATTTTTTTATTTAAGATATTTAGTTATTGAAATATTTAAACAATATAATATTTTATTGTTTGAATTTTAATGTTAAATGTTATTGTTTGAATAACATTTAAATTGAATAATCTAGAAAATCATAATTTATATTGTTAGTACATAATTTCATGATGATTTTTGTATAAATATAAAATTATTAATAATATGAATATTATTAAATCTGTTGTAATTATTTTTTGAGTTTTTAATAAATATTTTAAAGTTATCATATAATTTTGTTAGAATATTTAAATAATTTTTGAATTTTTAATTCAAACTTTCTTTAGATAGATATAGATAAATAGTGGGGGAGATGATAAATAGGAATTAGAGATAATTTAGGAGAGAGAAAGAGAGAGAGAGAGAGAGAGAGAGAGAGAGAGAATTTAGGTAATTATTTAAGGGAAAGAAGAGCATCTCATTAGTTCGTTTAAAAATGACATGGAATAAAAAATAAAAAAATTGAAGAAAATTTCTAAAGTGCCGTGTTACTCATCCATTTAAGCATTTGCATGTCTATCGCACTCATTTTTTAGACATATGTCTCTTAATTGCCCAATACTTTGCTCCATACAACAAAATTGCGTTTACAACTAATTTGTAAAATCTTCCTTTTAGCCGAAGAAGTATTCATCTATCACATTAGACTCTAGATGCACTCCTCCATTTTAATTACCTACCTATCTTGTTATTTAATTCTATGGGTGGCATCCTCCTTAATCTCTTCTTTGTTATGAATTATTAAACCAGGGTAATGAACTTCACATTGAGTCATCTCTTGATTTACAATCCCAAGCAAACCTTATTTTAATTGCACTTTTACTATTGTTAAATTTAAATTGCATATATCCTATTTTAGTCCTACTTGTCTTCTTTTGTAACATGATTAATTGTCCATAAACTTAATTTGGCATTTAACTTTTTTTAGTTTCATCAATTAATATTATGTCATTAGTAAATATCAAACACCATGCATGGGACCTCCTTATAATTATTCTCAATCAATTCATTTATGATTACCGCAAATAAACAAGAACGAAGTGCTAAATCTTGGTGAAAGTCCATTATAACTACAAGTCTATTATAAGTGTTTTTACATTGTTTTTTTCACCCTCGTATATATCCTTCATTAGGTTCACATATATTTGGGAGTACTCCTTTCTACATAATCTGGCCCAATCCAACCTAAAGTTGGTTCGTATTTTCAACCCTAACCCTAACCCAAACTTCGACCTAATTTGACCTAACTCAACCCAACTTTTTGTTTTATGTTCGGGCTAAGCCAGTCCAATTTGCAACTCTATTTATGATATATAATATTAAGTTTTTTACTTTATTTTATTAATAATATACACTATTCTGATCATTTTTAATTTAGGGGGTGTTTAACAACATTTTTGGTTTTGTTTTTGAAAACAAAAACATTTACCACATCCGCAATTTGTGCTGACGCAACAGTGATTTTGTTTTCAAAATCAAAACCACCAATGTTGTCCAAAATACCCCTTAATTTATTGATGGTATTCAATTTCCATTAGCATATAAGATTTGAATTTATTGAGAAACCAATTTTAAATATAGAGATATTTTGATCTAATTCATGTTAGCTCAATATTTCCTCGCTTGAAGGACCCTCAAAACTTATTAGATTTTTTTTATGGGATAATTACTTATTTATAACTTGTTTTAAGAAACTACTTAAATATACCCTATACTTTCAGAAACACTTGTATATACCTTCTAAGTTAGCCCCACATAACATAAACAAGATCTCTATTAATGAATCTCATTTAGGGCAAGCTCATTCCAAATGCCTATTAAATTTTTATAATACCAATTTTGCCCAAATATGTTCAAAACATTTGGGGGATCTTATTCTTTGTTTGAAACCCTAAGGTATTTGTAATGATTCATGATCCCATAAACTACCTCTCTCACACATAGGAAATCCTTTAGTGTAATTCCAGAGTTCAAAATTTTAATTTCGTATCCTAATGACTAAGGTGCCGTTTGGAAAGTCTTTTTCCAAAGATTTTCTGGAAGATTTGACAGGCAAAAGATGATGTGAGCTTTTGCATAAAGATCTTG